TGTTCTACATGACTACAGTATCAATAATATACCAATTAATAGGAAATCAGTGATAAAGGACTTAGGAATTATGTTCGATCGTGAATTGAACTTCAAATCTCATAATGAGTATATTATAGCTAAATCACTCAAGATGTTGGGCTTCATCAATAGATCATGTAAGGAATTCAGTTTGAACACTCCCAAGTTATTATATTGTTCATTAGTTAGATCATTATTGAGTACGCTTCAATAATTTGGTGCCCATATTATGAGATACACATAAACCAAATTGAAGCTGTATGAAACACTTTCCTGATGATCTGTGTATACAAGTTAGGTCGAAGAAGGGGAGAATATGCATTCAACAACATTAGAGATCAGATGAATCTTTCATTATACAAAGTAGTAACACGATTGATTCGAAAATTCTGTGGCAAAATAAACTCCCGTTTGATGCCAGGGGGTTCACAGGTGGATCAAAAATACCTTCCGGTTCTGGTGCAGGTGTTTTCAGTCGCAGACCCAGGACAGAGATATCAACCTGCCTAGGAACCTATGCGACTGTATTTCAAGCGGAAATTTACGCTATTCAATTGTGACATAAGTCAATAAAAGTATTCTCGGACAGTCAAGCGGAGTTGGAAGCTCTTGGCTCCTACCAAGCAACGTCTAAATAAGTAGCAAATTGCCAAAAACGACTCTCCCCGATAGGAAGACTCTGGTCTGGAATCCTGGCCATACTGGCTTGGAAGGCAATGAGGCGGCTGACATCCTTGCAAAAGAGGGTGCTGCAAGCAGCTTCATCGGACCAGAACACCTGGATGACAAGAAGATTTGTGTACTTCTGGTAGAATCTTCCAGGATTGGCTCACTCCAGGGCATTTATTCACCCTTCGAAACTTCATACCAAACAGTTGTTGAACTACAGTAGGGATGAACCACAACATGCCTTCTGACAGGTCACTGTAATTTGAATCATCATATGCAGAGACTCGGATTGTCGGAAGACAGTGTGTGTCGCCTCTGTTTCAAAAAAATTATGTAATAGCATAGCACGTACTTTGTGCCTGCCCCGCTGGAGACCGTATCAGGTTATTAGAGATCGGCAGAGCCGTACTATTACCATTTGACCTGAAAGATCACTTACTATACAAACTAATTGGCTTCGTTAAGAAGCTGGGTTTATTTGGTCGAGTTTGAATAGGTGTGAGCCACAATAAACCCTGGCAGGTTGCGGTGGAGCGTTGAATAGACCCACTCACTTTGGACCTATCCTAACCAAACCCATTCTATTCAGTTTGTACTCCAGACAGTCGTTTCAGGCATTTCTATATAACATCATACATGAAGGAAGTTATATTTCACTCACATGAAACACTGTCTTCCTCAGTGGCGGACATCGATGTTTCGGAATGAGACACTTATCTTATTGCATCTTCAGCACCAATCTGGATAACATTACAAGCAATCCAAAGCACTCAATCCATTTTGCGAAAAAAGGTTTTGGCTTTCTACTTCTTTCTCGCTCTTTATAAACAAAAATGTGGGAACTTTATGACATTCCACAACCGTTATGGGTTTCTTCGTTGCCGGAATGATGTTCTTGGTATTTTTCAACAACTTAATGAGATATATTTACTCTCCGTGATTGCATTGTTCCAAAGGTGACATATTTTGTAAGAAGGTCGGTTGAATTTGATGTTTTGGATTCGTTAATTTCATCTCAACATTGATTTCTTAATAAATTTATTGAATTTTTTCGATCAAATTTTTCTGTATCACTCAGCGATTTGATGAATTCCGCCTAGAAGCAAAGTTAACCCAATGAATATATATTGCTTGTAAATTAAAAGAGTCCGAAGTTTGATAAATTTCAGAATACACGACAAAGTCGATTCGGATATTGCAGAAATTCCCATAATCATATCGTTAGGGAGT